CTCTGGCCCCGCCCCGCCCCTGGCCTCGCCCCCTCCTTTTAGCCCCACCCCTTAGTGGGCGGCTACAGCCTTCACCCTCCTCCTTCAGGTACCATGGTACAGACCATGATCTGGTGCCCTAACTGCAAGAAGGAGCTTCACCCTTGTCCGAAGGGTTCGGAGTGCCCAAGTGAGAGAGCTGGGCGCCATAGGAGGGGTGGGCGCAAAAGGGGCGGAGCCAGAGGAGTGACTGAGTAAAGGGAGGCCCAAGACGACTGTCAGCTGAAGAGAAAAGGCGGGGCTGACCTAATGGAAGGGAGTTGGGGGACAGTCAAGAGCCATAAAAGACCATCCCACCGTAACCCCCTATCCCCAGGTCGCAAAGTCAATGTCCATGAAATGGAGGACATGATCCTGGACTGTGAGCTCAACTGGCATAAAGCCTCTGCAGCCCTGACCGATTACAGCTTTTATAGGGTGGGACCCTCCGACTCCTGTACCTTGAAATCCAAATCCATCAGGCCTGTGCGAACCCTGTATCCACAGGCCTGTACCACAGTCCCCATGACCCATGACCTACTAGGTTTGGCTGCCACTGACCCCCCGGGGACCCTATACTCTCACCAGTACACAGGACTCCCATCTCCCCCACTGAGACCCTGTGATCATCCTACCCCTGTACTCCCCCAACCCCTGAGTTCCCCAGGCCTCTGTGACCCCTTGAGCTTGGGTCTAGGTTTGGAGCAACAAGACTCAGACCTTGGAGTACAAGGGGAAAGGACCCACCCTAGTCAAGACCATGGTGGAGCCAAAGGATGAAGGCGTCTATCTCTGCAAGCTGGGAACCACGATTGGCGTCACAGCCACGGCCATCCGTTTTCACGTCAAAGGTCAGTGCTGGGGAGTTGAGAGAAGTATGGGATTCAGGGTCCTGGGGTTGGGGGCAGTCTGCTGCAGGGGTGTGGCCTATGGAGGAATAACTTCCTGCTGGGGTGTGGTTTTAGGCCAGGAGGGTGTCACTTCCTGCCCTCTCCGTGGCCTCTGGTCATGTAGGCAGGGTTCCCTTTGGGGTGGGTTCCGGCGACAAGCAATTGGAAGCACGCAATTATCTATCTCCTGAATGGCCTGGGTCCTGGGGCTGGTTGGGGCCGGGAGGGCTTGCCTTGGCTGTGGCTGGGCCTTCCTGCCTTCCGAGGGCCATTCCTTCCTCCTCCTTGGTCAGTGTTGCCCAAAAGAACCGTGGAGGAGAAGTCATCAGACATGGATGATGACATAGGCCTGGATGACACAACGTGGTATCCCATCCAGCCGACCAGCCAGCCAATGACATCCGCTCCCACTGTGGAGAATATGCTGAAAAGCCTCCTGGTCGGGCTGCTGATCTGGGGCTTTGTGGTGCTGATGGCCAGCATCGTCATCGTGTGAGCTGCACGCCGAGGAAGGCTGGGCTTGGGGTGAGGGGCGGCACTTCCACTGCTGAGGGGGTCTGGGAGCTCTGGAGCCTCAAGAGCTGGACTTCCATTGGGGAAGTGGCTTAGGAAACAGGTTGGAGCTCACCTAGGAGGGCGAAGCTTGGATAATTGCTAGAATGAGATCCGATATAGGGAGGCTGGGATCTGATCTGGTTCAGCTATTTGTACCCCACTGTCCCGCAGGATATTTTGCTATTGGTCTGAGAAGAATCCTGGATACTTCATTGATTCCTTAAAGGCCTGGTACCACACTGCCAAGGAAGCTGCCAAGAGAATTGCCATGGGAGCTGCCAAGGGAGCTGCCAAGGGAGCTGCCAAGGAAGCTGCTGAGGGGGCTGCCAAGGAAGCTGCCCAGGAAGCTGCTGAGGGGGCTGCCAAGGAAGCTGCCAAGGAACCTACCAAAGCATCTGCCAAGGAAGCTGATCATAGACCCCAGGTTCCAGAGGAAAAGACCAAAAAACCTAGGCACCAATAAACATTTATCTGGTTGTCTAAGTATCTGACTCACTCCATACTGATCTCAACTTTTGGTTCCCCCAAGAGGAGAGGTCTGGGGATGGTCTCCTGTCTGAGGGAGGAGGGGCTGGAAACCAGGCCTCCTGGGTCATGGCAGGGACCAACTGACTGCAGTGTAATTCCAGAATTAAGGAGTGGGGCAGAGCCAGCCCTACCCAGATCTCCTCCCCCAGGCCCGGTCCCCTCACAGGACGCCCCCTCCCCGCTCTTCCGGCCGGGTTTCCTCTTGCCTTTTCCTGTCCCCCACCCAGTGCTGGGAGCTGGGGCAGAGGAAAGGCTGAACAAGAGCAGTGGGATCAGGAACCAACCCAGGCCAACGGAGCCAGGGCCCCCCCGGGTGCTGCTGGGACCCGAAGCAGGGTAAGAGCTGGGGACCCAGGAGTCCAGATCCCTCCTCTCTCAGATCCAGGAGTCAGTCCTCAGCCACTTCCCGTCCCAACGCCCAGGAGTCCAGGCTCCCATCCCTTTCCTCTACCCACACTCAGGAGTCTGAACCCCAGCCCCCTCCTTGCTCTGACTGGAGCCCAGGCCACCCTCCAGCCCATCCTCACCACTCAGAGCCTCAGGAGTTGGGGCCTTGCCTACCCTCCCTTAGGGCCATGCTATCTGGTGAACGGAAGGAGGGCGGCAGCCCCCGCTTTGGGAAGCTCCATCTCCCCGTGGGCCTGTGGATCAATTCTCCCAGGAAGCAGCTGGCCAAGCTGGGGCGGCGCTGGCCCAGTGCCGCCTCTGTCAAGTGAGTGCCCTTCTTGAAACTCCTGACCCTGCCCATCTGCCTTCTCTCTGTCCTTGTTTATGACCCAGTCCCTGCACCGGGCAATGCCAGGGACCTCTGATGGGCAAGTGAGCTGGCAGTCGGGAGGACGCAGTGGGCTGCAGTGGTACAGGCCTGGGATGGGGGCTGGGCCGGGCCTGGGCTCAGGGGTGGGGACCCAGAGGAGCGGGGGTTTGATTTACCTTTCCCCCTCCGCCTGCTCCCCTCTTGGGACTCCCTTCTGTGGGACTTGCCCTTATTTATTTATTTTCTCTCTTTCCCACCTCTCGTCTCCATACGCCCTACGCTTCTCCTCTTCCTGTGGGTCCCTGTCCCCTCTCAACGGGTCTCTGTCACTCTGTCCCTGCACCCCCCCTCCGGGCCTGTGCCCACATCCCTTCTTCTCTCACTCCCCGGTCCTTCCTGCTCTCTCCTCCGTCTCTGCCCCTCGGCGGGCTCGCAGGTCCTCCTCTTCAGACACGGGGAGCCGCAGCAGCGAGCCCCTGCCCCCGCCGCCGCCGCACGTGGAGCTGCGGCGAGTGGGCGCGGTGAAGGCGGCTGGGGGAGCCTCGGGGAGTCGCGCCAAGCGCATTTCCCAGCTCTTTCGGAGCTCGGGGACCGGGGCCGCGGGATCTGGCGGCACGGGAGGTCCCGGGACCCCGGGGAGCGCGCAGCGCTGGGCCAGCGAGAAGAAGCTTCCTGATCTGGCGGCGG